CATGTTCTTCAGCTAGACGATCTTTCCTGAAGTAAACTTCAGATCTACCGTGCCAATACCATGAACAGAAGCATATGACCCATTCCCCATTAGGACGGTGGAACCTCGTGCGACCTGATAAGAAGAAAACAATGAGATGTCAGCACAAACATGTACATTGGCCCCAGTATAAACCCACCAATTAGTAGACTAATTAACTGAAAAAATAGTAGGTAAATTACCATACCCGCTTCCATCTCCAGTGTTGCCAATGGTCACATTAGCAGACTTAGAAGTCTGCCCTACAGGTGCCTTCATCCCCTTGCGTTGTGGACACTTCCTAGCCAGATGACCAGGTTGGCCACACACAAAGCAAGTCCTCTCATCCTGATTAGGATTGTTATTGTTCTTCTTCTGCTTCTTGAAGTTGGTGGTCTATTGAGCTTTGTATTTCCCCTTGCTCTTGTTCTGGGCCTTGTGCACAACATTGGCACTGGACTGCCCACCATCGCCCTTAGACGCAGCATCTTTTTCCCGAGCTTTCTCCTCAACATCAAGAGACGCTATCAACCCCTCAACGGAGTATTCCTGTCTCTTGTGATTGAGTGCAGTACCGAAACTTCTCCAAGATGGAGGTAGTTTCGCAATAATGCACCTGGCCACAAATTTGTCGGGTAAGACACACTTAAGGAGTTCGAGTTCCTTAGCCATGGTTTGTATCTCATGAGCCTGTTCGACTACAGAACGGTTGTCAGCCATCTTGTAGTCTTGAAACTGCTCCATGATATACAGATCATTGCCAGCATCAGTAGCACCGAATTTAGTATTCAGTGCATCCCACAACTCCTTAGCGTCAGTCAAATGCATATACACCTCGACCAGACGATCGCCAAGAACGCTAAGAATGCATCCCACAAAGAGAGTAGTGGCTTCCTCGAATTGCTTCTGCTGATCAGCAGTAAGAACTCCTTCAGGTTTGCCAGTACTCACCCAGAAGCATTTCATAGCTGTCAACCACAGAGTGACCCTGATCTGCCATCTCTTAAAGTGCACACCGGTGAATTTATCCGGCCTCAGTGCATCGGCAAAACCAGCCATAGTAAAATCACAGCGCCTATAATAAGGTTTTTGGATTGTAGAAATTATAAGCACATAATGATTTAATTTATTCCATAAATAAATCATGACATTGCAGATGTAAACTAGCATGAACACATCATTAGATCTACACATGTAAACTAAGCAGTAAAACATGAACGGATCAAATATGCACAACATGTCGAACACGTACCGAGGTGGCGGAAAAACCGGTTGCTCGGCAGGTACTACTCGCGGTTGCGGGCGTTGACGAAGGCGCGCAGCACGCGAGCAGAGAGGAAGGCGAGCCGTAGCGAACGAACAGGGAGCAGTCGCGCGAAGCGCTTCCCAAAAACCTTATTGCCGCCTTCTCCCCGTGCAGGACATCGAAGGTAGAGGTTCCGGAGACCTGCTCTCCTGATCGCCGGTGCACGCCGGCGAGCGGGATGGAGTTGTCTACGAGCGACGGCGTAGCACAGAGTAGGAGGCAAACCCTAGATTGATTTTGCGTATGTTGCGTGAAGGCGACGGCTCGGTTTATATAGAGATAGGTCGCTTGATCAGGGCGCCCGCACGATCTCTACTCCGTGTAACCGAACCGGATAAGTCGCGCGTAACTTATCCGGACTCCACGCTGTTTTCACGCACCGGATTTTTCGGAATGTTTCTAAAACAAAAACAAATCCAAATTTCCCGCAGCAAAACAAAACTGCAAAAGGAGGCTACATCTGCGCAAGAGTGAGGAGCTAATTTTGCGGACCATTCGACGCGTAACAACGTGCACGCGCGCCGCCTGCTTGGCCAGGTGAGCGTGCGCGTGTGTTCCCCCTCTTCTCTCCACCACACATGCTTCAAGTGGCTAGGAGGGCATCCTCCCTTTTAAGAAGGTCCCCCTCTCCTAGAATAAGCAAGGTGGTACTAAACTCCACATGCATGCCATCCCATGAGGTGGGCTTTTGTGATTTTTCAAAGAATTAATCTTCGAATGGGCCTTAGCCCATCTATTAATTCCAACATTGCTTTGGTCCGATAAGTATGTGGCCTTAAAATTTTGAGTTATCAATATACAAAATGCATTACCGATGATGTAGAACAGGTTTAGGTGCTGCAGCTATCAAGACAGAAACTGTACCATTTAGCATTCTAGCAATCTAGCACAGGTAAGAACTCACTAAATGAGCATCACTGATCAAAATGCGACAGATCAAAGGCACTGGTTGATATCGCACCGTACTAACTCAACATAGCCACGCGTAGCTGAACACCTGAACCGCGCTGCCACCGGAGGCCACAAGCGTACGAGCAAATGGAACCAGCTCCCAGAAACACCACAACAGGTAAAATTTCATTAATTTTTTCAGGGTTAGTCTGATCATAATTTTCAGTATAACGCTCTCAGCTGGAAGAACCTTAGGTTGAGTATTGCATATAAGTATTTATCATGGGATTAGAGTAGTACCAAATCTTAATTCAGATGATAAGAGTGAACAGGTGTCGATCTGTGCAACATTACTATTCCCACACAATGATATCTTCAGAAGCTTCTGAAACTTGAAAATGGTTTGCAAAGTTCCTGCCAAGGAAAAAATAAAATAAAATAAAATTTTGCCATCAGTAACATTGGAAACAAGAGCTCTGTTTGATCAAAGTCACAGACATCTAGCGCCAACAGTCTATGAAGGCCAATATCTGTAGCACGATTTGACAATGCTCAAAATTTTAGATCTACTAAAAATTGTGGTAGCATGTTCTTTCCAATAAAAAGTACAATTAAAGCACAACACAGAGATCAATTGAAGTACAATTAAAGTACAACTTATGCTACAGGACCTAACAAGAAACATGGTTTATTCAAAGGACCTAATGCAAACCATCCAATTTTCATTTTTACATATATAGTTGTATGTGACAAGATGATATCAAGGGATTGTTGGGAAATAATCTCTCGGCTAAGGAAACCGAGAGAAAATCACGCGATCCTGTTTTCCACCCGTTGACCAGCGTGATTAGCTCACGATTAAATTTCCTTAAATGCACGCGCAATAGTCGGTAGCGCAACCAACGTTTCCTTTTGGAGCAGCCCCCGATTCCCTCAGTGCAAAATAAAAGGGGAGGCCGGCCCGTGAGAAGGTGACAATCTCACTCACGGTTCCAATCTCCCCGACATCCCAAAACCCTAATTTCCCGATTCTCAGTTGCGCAGGAAGGGATTCGTAGTGCTGTTCCGGGACAATGTAAGTGGTGACCGGAAGGCCGCCGCCACCCCGCAGGTGATCACCGGTGACCTCTTCGGGATCAAGCCGGTGTACTCACTACTACGACCACTTCTCCTACACCGACAATTCGCGAGGTGGTTCGAGGTTCTGCATCTCTACATCCACTCCAGACTAAGCGAGAACAATTGCAATGGCTTCAAACAACGGTCAGTAATCCTAAATTCTGCATTAGGGTGATCATGTTAGGCCGACCGGAAGGCCGCCGCCACCCCGCAGGTGATCACCGGCGACCTCTTCGGGATTAAGCCGGTGTACTCACTGCTACGACCACTTCTCCTACACCGACAATTCGCGAGGTGGTTCGAGGTTCTGCATCCTCTACATCCACTCCGGACCAAGCGAGAACAATTGCAATGGCTTCAAACAACGGTCAGTAATCCTAAATTCCGCATTAGGGTGATCATGTTAGGCTTAGCACTTATGTCTTAGTAGATCGCAATATCTACAGGGATTACCTTGCTTTCAGGCAGATGTTCCAGATGATTAGCCGAGGGCGTGGAGCTGCGTTGGTTCAGAGACGGTCGTGGAAGTGGAGCAGCTATCAGCGGAGTAGGCAGTGATGCACAACCTGATGGAATACGCGTAGGCTACGATAGCATAAATCAAAATTTTCTACCGCGTAAACCAGAAACCATGCAAGTATTAGATCATAAATCGTTACCACTCGACACGCTGCGTAGCGGAAGAAAGCGCTAAGAAGTCGAAGGAACTTTCGCGAAGTAGCGCGCGTTGATGTAGAGGAAGTAGTCGATCGCACCGGCTTGACCTTCTCCTCCTCGTGCGTTCTCCTCGCCGTACTCCCACGTCGACCAGCACCGCAAACCAACGGCGCCTCTACCGGTATCCACACGTACAGGGACGGAACGCCACGCGCAGATGTGCTAGCACCCGCTCGCGGCTAGGGTTTTGCTCGGGGAGGGGAGTGGCGGCTAGAGTTTCTCACATGATGCAATACCTCCGCCGATCACACCCCTCACGAATATATAGGATCCATGATTCGGGCCTCCAAGGCCCATAGGACTCCTATTTGAATCCCTATCCGAATTAAACTCATATTGGATCTCCATCCAATCCCCTTATTCCGGCCCATTAAGCGTGCGACCCTGTAGATTCATGTACACTCGGCTGTAACCCGAAAACTCCTTTCGGTCCACGTGACAATAGCGGTCCCTAGCAGAACGTATTGACCTACCGGGCATACATAAAGATCATATTGGCTGAACCTCTAGTGTATACTTGTATGATCCACTTTGCCTCACGATATCGATTAAGCTCAAGGCTAGATATGTGCTATCCTCTAATCGCTCAATCATTCACTCGAACCTGTGATAGATTATATAACTTGTGATTGACTCATCAATCACCTTTGGCATGGCCATGCATTTCCATAATCTACAACATCGAGGGGCCCAGAGATATCTCTCCATAGGAGGGGCAAATCCCATCTTGATTATTCATATCACACTACATGTTTCACAGCATACCCGGAAACTACTTTTATAACTACCCAATTACGGAGTAGCGTTTATCAGTCTCTAAGTAAGCTACTACACATGTTGGGAACCATGATAATCTCAGGTCTAAGGATTCAACACCAACACTAAATGAGATCACTGATGACACAACACATATGGCTCTTGCGGTGTCTCATGTTGGGTCTATCCAACAACATGTTCCCCAACATGTGTTCACATTATTAATTTGGTATCTCTACTAGTTGGGTGCCCGTGCATTGCAACGGGAAAAAAATAAACAGACATATTAAATTACATTGCGTAAAATGCGTAAAATGCTGTTAAATAATCATTGAGCCTAAATTTGTTGTAACAAAAACCTTAATATAACATGAACCATAAAAACCAATCTAGTCGCAGTAAAGGCTTGTCATCTACTTCCTCCGTTTCACAATGTAAGTCATTCTAGCATTTCTCACATTTATATTAATGTTAATGCTAGAATGACTTACATTGTGGAACGGAAGGAGTAGAATAAATAGCCGAAAATGATCTAACTTTAACTCATGCCACCTATTATTTGACCTCCTAATCCAGCGGTATGCAAGACCACCATTCCTCCAGGACGCATCAACGCGTACTTTCATTTGTATATGCAGTTCCTTCGAACACGTGAGTACCACGCTCCTTTCATATTATTGAGGAGATCAAACTCATAAGAAACCATGAGGGCGGATCCAACATTGTAGAGATGGTGCCACATGACATCAATTAATTTTTACTACACATAAATGTAGGTCAGAACTTGTACAATGTATGGTTTAAAAATATATATTGCCAATTTCTACAGAACTTATGGATAAACAGAAACAAAATAAGGCTTATGAATGAAAAAAAAGAAAATAATTGGCTGGTAGAACATTTTAGTATATTCATAGCTAGAAAATGTGTAACATAGTTCTGATGTTCTATAGATGGCACATCTCAGTTTTGATAATGAAAGGTTGCTAGCACGGGTGCAAAACAAAAGAGTAAATCAAGACACCTCACAGATACTCTAGTCTGGCCTACCAAGTCCAATAGAATTCATAAGCGAAAAATATATGCTACAACTACGTATGAATATACAAGAGAACACAGTTCGTAAGTACATTCTATCAGCTTGCAATTGAGTTCCCTCTGTAGATCAGAATCTTACCTTTTTCCATAGGGTGTTTTCAAAGTTTCAACTTCATGTCAAAAAAGAGAGGAACCATTCAAAACAAATGATCATATGATATGTTACTGAAGATCCATTTGAAAAGAAGTTGAATAAAAAAGGAACTAAATGAAGCTTACTGGCATCTTCTTCCCCGCCAGGGTAGGGATGCAAGCGGGCCGACCCGCGAGTTCACTTATAGGTCAAATAAATCATATTTTATGGGTTTTCGCGTCGGTCCAGTTTACCGCATCATAGATATGAAAACTCATTTATAGATCAAATTGATAGGTAACCCGTTGGTCAAACCTGCAGGTTACGTACTAATTTTGCCTATAAGCGGGTTCGTGGACAATGTCACGCCTAGAAATTCACTAGTAATTTCCGAACTAATTTGTGTATAGAATCCTCGTCCAGGAATCAGCCGAGGTACACAAACTGACAATTTAATATAGAAATCCATCATAATAATAACGTTACATACTTACAAAACAAAAGAAAATCAGCAGCGGAATAACGGTCTAGCGATGGCTTCAGCTCCACTCCCACAGGCAGCTCAACTGGGGTATAAGCCAAACGTCTTCTTCTGGATCCTTTTCTTCAACTGAGGTTGATTGATTATTGCAAGGTGAGCATATGACATACTCTGCAAGCCACACAGCAAATATGCAAGTGCACAAGGATACCAAAAGATGGCATAATATAGACTCATTTGCAAAAGCAGCATTTAGCAAACATTTGAGAATTGAAAAATAGTAGAGTAATTAATCAATGTTATTCAACACTGAACAGCACACCCATGCTGCTCAGGCCCAACCATCCTGAACAACCATACCCGGCTGTATAGATCTAACTCCAAACCAGGAGCTAAGCAAATTATTACCAGTTATAGCATCAATAATTACTGTGAGAGGTGTGAGACTAATCACGAAAAACATTGTTCAACCTGCCCATGATCGCGGGCACGGCTATTCGAATAGTTTTACTCTGGCCAGAGGTGTATCACCACTGTACCCACAAGACACAGCTCCACGACATGTCACCATGCGCCTCAATACCACCACGGTACCTTGGAAAGGAACTGTGACAGTACCCCTCGCACAACACAACTCACCACAGTGCACCATTCCTGGATCATAATCACCCCCTCTACAACCAGAGGCATGGACTCCCCAGCGACCCTCATGGACTTCTCGCCGCTTCTCAGTCTGGTGCCCCGCAATGAACCATGCTATACGAAAGGTAAATCCGTTGCCCACGCTGGCTTGTGCTTGGCACGGTAAATATTTCACAACAATAGCTCGTGAACCGTTCCTTAATTGTCATGAGCACGACCTTCAAAACCATGTGCTCACAACCCACCATTATCAAGTTTTAATTATCAATTAATTATCATAACACAATTAACCATCGTGAGCTACCATTAAATATAACCATAAGTAACAATGTAGTGTGATTCATCTCATTTATGGCTAAGCAATTATATATATAGCATTTAGCTGAACCAATCCAATATATAAAGTCCAAGCTAATCAATTTATTACCCATAGGAAAATAAAGTCATCTTCGGCCATAATTAATTGGGAATGGCTCACCACCCGATGACATTCGAAAATAATGCATAAGTTGAAATAAAACAATAGCTTTAGATAGGTTCAACATGCTCAAAGGGTTGTTTGAGATCTGTGTGACTTGCCTTGCAATAATCGGTCTTCAATTAATCTTCTTGAACACTTCCGACGCACTCACGAACCTTCGCAACGACGGAAACAACAAGCTAACACGAAAAACGAAGAAAAAGACTAATAAAAACCAAATAAACAGTACATAAAAAGTAGACAAACATGTAGATCATGATTTTAGATGAATTTAGAGACTTGAACCACTTAATTCCGACTTCATATGAATTAGTTATCAATTTTACAAGATAAATATGATTTTAGCCTTATACAGAACAGGATTAACAATGTCATGACGACATCATTGCCGGCGATGGAGGGTTTAGGCGGCCAAGCCGAGGCACCAGAAGAAAGAGCACGACGAGGGGAACTCACTGAGGGGCGGCACGACGATGAAAAACGGCTGGCGATGAGATCGGGAGTGACGACGGGGTACCGATCGATGGTGGCGGCGGAGTTTCAGCGACGGGAGACGACAACCGAGGGGTGGACGGGGTTCTCCTCGCAGCTGCGATGCCGAGGGAGGCTGCGGCGAGGTCCGGCGACCTTGGGGTCGATGAGGAGGCTTCGCCGGAGATCAAAACAAGGCGGCAACCCACTGGTTCACGGTGACGGCAATCTCCCGGCGGGATTTGGCGCAAAAGAACCGGTGGCCGGGGTAGAGCTGACCCTTGCGAAGCCGAGGGAGGCGACGGCTCAAGGCGGCGTTGACCAGAGAGGCGGCGCGGCGCTGCTGGAGATGGTGGCGGCGCTGGAGAGAGAGGGACTCGCAGGGAGAGACGGCTAGGGCACGGGAGCTCGAGCTAGGGGTTGGAAACGAAAGAGGAGAGCTTGGGGGTTCTATTTATAGCCACGGGAGAGAGATATCGGGCTTGGAACGCAAGGAATCGCGTCGGGAAAACCTAGGGTTTGGTGGAGAGATAAACTCGAAAACGAATCCAAATTCGCGTCGAATTCAAAGGGATAAAACCGGATTTTTGGGGAAAGAGATAGAGGAGGATAAGGAAACAAGTCCCCTCAACTAATTTTCGGAAAACACGAGAGATAAGGCCGGATTCGGAGGAGAAAAACCGAGCCAACTCGGTCTCAGTTCGGCTGTCCTGAGGTTGAAGATGAACAGTAGCGAGGGACGTAAAGCAGACTTTCTCCGAGAGCATCCTCTACTAGGCCGGATTGAAGGAGGGACCTGAAATGGACTTCGGAGGAGGGATAAGGCCAGCCGAAAGGGAGGGAGAATGGGCCGAGAACTAAAGGTGAACCTTTCCAGTTTCGGCCCGAAAAGGAAAAGGGGATTTTAATTACTTTTCCAATTAAATTAATCACTGAAATGATCCTTGAATTGTTAAAAATACTTCTATTGCTCAAATAATTTCAAAAAAAATCCTGAAAGTACTTGAACACTATAAGTATTTAACAAAATTAAAATCAGACCATTTAATGATTAATTTAATATGTGAATAATTACTTAAATGTTGTTTGTATTATTAAAATTAAGAATTGAGCTCCGAAAAAATCAAAGAAAATTCCAGAGAGTATAATGCGAACTTAATAAAAATTAAATCCAGCCATACTTTATATTTAGGAAATTTTATTTCCCACATTTAACTTTACTTGTAAATTAATGAACATTTAATATAAATTCTAAAAATAATTTATTAAATAATTTATGAATCCTAAAGTGAAAATCAGGATGTGGCAGACAGGCCCACTTGCACCCCTAGCGAAGGGAGAGGCGACCACACTGGTGCTGCCACCTCCCCCGCCATCTGCGTCGCCGCCTTCCCCCACCATCCGTGTCGCTTCTTCTTCCTCAACTTCGCCGGCGCCGCCCACCACCTACTCCGCCACCTTCCTGACCGCGCCACCTGCCCCCGCTATTCGCGCCGCCTTTCTCGCCATCCGTGGTGTCGCCTTAACCCACCATCCATGCCGCTTCTTCTTCCCCAACCTCGCCGGGGCCGCCCACCACCTGCTCCGCCGCCTTCCCGGTTGCGCCGCCTCCCCACACCGAGCCGCGCCATCGCAACTGCTGCTGCCTGCTCCTCATTCTAACCGCCCTCAATGTCGTGGATGGTAGGGGAAGGCGGCGGCGCCAGCATGGTTGCCCCTCCCTTTGCCCTTTTATCCTCTCACTCGGCTCGGTCTCAGTTGTGAGTGCGTGGTTTAGAGAGAGAGATGGCAGTGAGGGGCAAAAAGGGCCAAGAAATAATTATTTAGATGAAAAATAGTATTTTGCAAATGCAACAGACAGCGAAAATGGCATTGTAGCGAATGCCCACAACTTGAGAGTAGCATTCGAGCGAATCCTGTAAACAATACATTATTAATTACATGCTAAAAATGTAAATTTAGTTGCTACTGACTATAGGCAGATTTCATTTCGTTCTTGAATAAATTCTGTCATGAAAAGGATATACATTTAGCATGAAGAGATGTATACCGTTTATTAGTTGACTATAGATACGTGTACCTACGGTCAGCCAAGTCAGCCACTGAACAGCAACTGCCCCCCTCCAGTTGCCAATTCTGGGTTAGCCAACATGCCATGCAAGTTAAGCGAGCAGAGCAGATCAAAAAGAAGGAAATGGAGTACACAGTGGAGAGTGATTATCTGTGGGAAGTGAATGGGGGTGGTACTGCTTGAGATACTAACAGTTACCAAAATGACCAAATATATATTTAGTTTCTTTCACATAGAAACATAATTGCTATGTAAATCAAAATGTATCTTAATAGCATGTGAGGTGGTATACAACAGAAAATTCTATTTTAATAACCAAATGGACATAACAATCATTTAGTTGAGCCAGCCTGATGCAAAAATTCACTGCTTTCCCATTTGCTCATGTACTGTCATGTTAAGTCCTAAGGGCTGAGTGCACGCTACAGAACCCTATAAAGATTAAATAATCAAATACCCTCAACCTAGCTCCACAACTCGAGAATTGAAGTTTCCTAAATGACGGTGGTGTTGGAAATTTAGTCATAATTTGGCATATTTTAATCCAAAATATTAAGACAATAAATATAACATTTGCAATATTAGTAGATATAGTGACAGTGCTACATGTATACAACTTGAGTATGCTTAATATAGAATAAGCATCAGCATAGACAAGAGAACACAATAATATTGCGACCGACAGTTGTAGGAAACAAAGAACGAACGGTAAGAGTGAAACGTTATACCCTGAGAATGGCCCTCCGCTGGAGTTTGAGACAGTATTGCCTCCGTTGGTGTTGACGGGAAGCTCCTTCTCCTTGTCTCTAGTGTTGTTGTTGTCGCCGGTTGTCAACATGTTAGTGAAGATGATGCAGAGCAGTCGCGCTTGAAGCGCTACCCAAAAACTTGATCGCCCACTTACCCGTGCAGGTTCTCAAGCGGACGGAGTTTCGGAGGCACCTGCTCATTCCGATCACCCGTGCGCACGGGATGAACAGAACCGGGGAAACAAAGAGACAGCGCAGGAACAGAACGAGAGTATCGCTAAGGAACAATACAGGAGGAAGACACACACTTTGAGAGCCTCTGCCTTGCGTTATATATAGAGAGAGATCTCCATTACCGCAAAAATAAATCTAATTTGTTGTGGATGTTACAACACAATCAATCTCTCATTTGTTGTGGAGGTTACAACACAATGAATCTCTCATTTGTTGTGAATTTCATTTTTTAATGGTGACTTCATTCTCGTTTGTTACAAAACGGAAACGGAAGAGCAGCAGGCAGGCTCGGCTCGGTCGGCCGCCTCGCCTCGCTACGTCCATGGCCGAGGCCGACTCAGCGCGTGCGCATGCGTGTGGCAGTCCAACCATCACCTCAACCGGTCAACAGGGAATCTCCAATATCACCCTATTTAAGTTGAGGTTCTTCCACCTAATTTTTCAAGGTAGTATTATTCTCTCTAACATTACTTGTGGGCTCTTGAGATTTTAATTAAATTAAATTAGGCCTAGCCCATTTATTTCAACAATCCCCACCAAATTTCATGGCTCACAAGAAATGTTCTCAAAACTGAACCTGTTAGTTATACCAGTGTTTTGATGGAGACTGTTAGGTTGAACTTCCACCTAGGAAAAGAGTTACACCAGATCATAACTGAACAATGGATTATGCCTTGTAATTGTCAGTTTTGTGCGATTCAGGTTTCACTCAAACCCTTAACTGGTATTGGGCTGTCGTTTGCATCCCCTCTGTTTGGAGCGTATAAGTCATACTCCTGGCCTTTTCATGAGTATCTAGAGATCACCCAGATCTCATAGACTGTGACTAGCAGTCGGAGTCATATAGGCGTGTTCCTTCTAAGATGTTCTGTAGGCCAACATCTCTGCTTTATGAAAAGCCACTCGGATCACATTAAGGTGTATACCATCCTACCATACAGATTAGAAGAGAAGTGCATCATGAAGATAAGCTCATTTTTGGGTCTCTTCTCTCAGTTACCCAATAGTTTGTTTCGCCATCCAAATTCACGGGATCTCCAATCACAATGGACAGGTTTCCACCATTGTGCAACTCTAAGTGGGTCTTAAGCCTATCTCCCTCGATGCACAGTCTATCACATTACGTGGTAGCCCCTTGGTAAACTGATCTGCCAAATTTTTAGCCATCTGGACATAGTCCAATGCTATCACTCCGGAGTTTTTCTGCTTTCTGACAGACTTCAGTCTTCTTTTAACATGCCTGGATGACTTCATGTTGTCCTTTGAACTGTTCACTTTAATAATCACTGTTTGATTATCACAGTTCATCAGGATTGCTGGTACTAGTTTTTCAACCACCGGCAAGTCCATCAGGAGCTCACGAAGCCATTTGGCCTCAACTGTGGCAGTATCTAAAGATGCGAGTTCTGCTTCCATTGTTGACCTCGTTAAGATGGTCTGCTTGCAAGACTTCCAGGAAACGGCGCCCCTTCCAAGTGTGAACACATACCCACTTGTGGCCTTTATCTAATCAGCATCAGATATCCAGTTTGAATTACTATAGCCCTCCAGTACTTTTGGGTACCCAGCGTAGTGAACTCCAAAGCTCATTGTCCCTTTTAGATAGCACATTACTCTTTCAAGAGCATGCCAATGATCATCTCCCGGATTTGAAACAAACCGGCTCAACTTGCTCACAGCAAATGAGATGCAGGCCTCGTTGCACTAGCTAAGTACATCAATGAACCAATAATCTGGGAGTATCTCAATTGATCCCTTGCTATTCTTCGGTTTTTCCTTAATAGCACACTAGGATCAAAAGGAGTAGGAGCTGCCTTGCAGTCACTATAACCAAAGCGACTCAGGACCTTGTCCACATAGTGAGATTGCACAAGTGTAATCCCACCCTCATCTCCTCTCAGTAGTTTAATGTGAAGAATAACATCAGCCACTCCCAAATCCTTCATTTCAAAGCTTTTGGATAGAAAGTCCTTGACCTCCTCAATCACATTAAGGCTGGACCCAAAGATCAATATGTCATCGACATATAAACACAAGATCACTCCCTCTCCCCCACCATAGCGATAGTACACACATTTGTCAGCTTCGTTCACAACAAAGCCAACATATGTAAGTGTATTGTCAAACTTCTCATGCCATTGCTTAGGCGCTTGTTTGAGACCATACAAGGACTTCAACAGCTTGCACACCATTCCCTCCTGACCTTCTAGTACATACCCATCTGGTTGATCCATATAGATCTCCTCCTCCAACTCTCCATTGAGGAAAGCTGTCTTAACATTCATCTGATGGACAAGTAGACCATGAGAGGCTGCCAGAGCAAGTAGTACTCGAATCGTGGTCAAGCGAGCAACCGGTGAATAAGTGTCGAAAAAGTCCTCGCCTTCTTTTTGGGTACAACTGTCACGCCCAGAAATTCACGAACCAGAATTTCTAAGCTGAATGTGTATTAAACCCCTATCCAGGACCAGCCAGGGTACACAAACGACAATTGTTGACATACAGATCCACGTCTTACAAAAACATAAAGGATTACAAATGCAGCGGAAAAGGTAAAAGCGAGCTAAGCCTGAAGACTTGACTCCTGCAGCGGGCGATTCCATTCCACAGGCAACCCTTGACGGCAGCGACGAAACCAACCTCTCTGAGACGGCTCCAATTGAGAAGAACTTCTACTCTGGTGTGGGGGAAAAGAGAGCAAGACTGAGTACTACCCACTGTACTCAGCAAGTCATACCGGAAGAGGAGGTATGATGCAGGATATAACCAAAGGAGGCTAGAGGTTCTTTTGCATAAAGCTAGCATTTAAAAGCAGTAGTTGAAGGCAGTAAAACAGTTGTAGTAATTAATCAATATTAACCAATCACTGTC